AAATAAAAAATAAAAAAAATGTGCCAGCGTGTGGCATGAGAGTGCCCTGGAATAAAAAAAATATACAATTTGCACGTATCCAATCCAGAAGTTGGGAGAAGGTAAATCTGGGGGACGATGTGTCAAGATTGTTAATTACGAAATCAAAGTAGGTCAAGTCTAGCCTGCGAAGGAGTTAAAAGTTCCTGCGGAAAAGGAATGTTAGTAATTCTTAAGAAGTAACCTTTAAAGTGGTTGTTTAAGAGGTTATTGAAGATTGCCCTGTTTTTAGATCGTGATTTTTAGTTTGATTATAAAAGAATATATCATTGAGATATGAAATTGCGAAAGTAAGGCTTTGCATATAGCGTTAAAGGATTTGAAAAATCGAAAATAGAATTGCGAAGTTAAATGCAAAGTAATCTTTAAAAAAAAAGTAAAAATAGTGATGATATGATACAAAGATTAACACACTACAGCAGTATATAAGGGGTAATAGAAAGTGAAAATATTAAATGAAAAAAAAATAATGAGCAATAATATACTCGATAGCATTGACATGGTAGCGGAAGGTGAAACAATGTAAATAACATCTAATTTATAAAGTGAGAAAAAATATAAAATGATAAATGCAAATTAGTGATATAAACATGAAATATAAACTTGAGATTATTAGATATGATATGAAAGATAAAATATAAAGTTGATTATAAAATAGAGTCATGAAGCAAAAGTAAATAAGTTTTGGTAAAGAAAAATAATAAAAAAAAAAGACAATAATCTAAACTAATTGGTTGACGTAAAAAAAACAATTATAAGAGCTATATAATGATTATATAAAGGATATTAAAATGAAAAATTTTAAAAAATGTTCATCGAGAAAGAAGAGCAAGTAAGATTATATATAGAAATTATATATCGTGAAAGAATGGAAAGTTGTAGGCCAAATGTAATGTTCCTTTTTTTTTTTTTTTTTTTAGGATGGGTGGAGAGAGCTTTAAATTGTCCTCGATCGATATCTTTGGTCTTGTTGGCCTAAGTTTTTCTAACTTATCGAATTTGTTTTATGTTTGACGTGACTCGTGGATCACATTGTTTCTAACTGTGAAACTTACTGAGTCCTAATGTTGTCGATTTTTTAAACTTATGTGGGTGTGTGTGATTTTTGTAGGTAAAATGTTGTCTTTGGATCTAAGTGTCGATGTTAAGTTGACAAGTTAATTGAGGGCGAGAGAATGTTAGTGAACAGATTTGTTAGTAAATGTAAAATAACGTGTTAAGCAAGTTTTAGTAGCTAAACGGGATATCGGCGTAGATTAAAAATAAAAGGCGCGCACTAATGTTTGATTTAATAGGTAGCGAAAATCCATTAGAGTGACATCGGGGTGGCGACGGGCGTAACAAAATGTCGGCTATTTGTTTGTCCATCTCCAGCGGAAGAAGAGGGAGCGAAGCTATTTTTAATGCGATTCCGGATTTAGGTCAAGGGGGAGCGAGGGGGCTTGCTTTCTTTCAACTTATTGGAAGTTAATTCAAACTACGTTCGGAGATATTATTTCTATAATTGTAAACGCAAAAGCGTTTTGATTTGTCACTTTTGGTGAAAAGCGTTATGGGATTGATATAGGGAGATACAGAGGTTGAAATTCCGTGTGTTCAAGCATTTGTTCGTTTTGTGTTTGTATTTCGAAAATTCGGATATTGTATCTGTTGATATTAAATCGACTGGTTGTTGTGTTTCGATATTTTGCGGACTTAGTAAAAATGTTATTCATGGATATCGGGTTAGAATTGAATGAAATTGCGACTATCTACGTGGACAATGTGTGATTAAATAAATGTGTCACAGGCGTGGTGAAGGCGTCTTTGGCCTGAAAATTGAAAGAGTTTAGTGGTGTAGCGCTGTGACACGAAGCGAAAAAATTGTAAATGAAAAGGTGCCACGTGAAGTCTTCGTTTTGTACAAAATCTAATCTGTTTCACTAAGAATAACAAGTTTACTAAAGTCATGGGTGCTGGTTGTACGAACATATCGATAATTTTTATATTGTTAGTGGATATGACACGTTTAATGTGAGAAAAAAAACAAATTTTGTGTGTGTTTAGTAGGGCGACGTGATGCAGCTTGTGTAGCTCGAAATTAGATTTCGGTGTGAAGTCGCGCATTGAAAATTGTCGTCAATTGGAAAAAGTTATGTGATAGGGTGTTGTTTATTTTGTTGAGAGTGATTTGTCGATATTTAAATATGCATGTAAAAGGAAGGAGTGTAGTTATGGGGAAATTTAACGATTGGAATAGTTTTGGAAGGCTGTGATTTAAGTTACTTCTGTCCAAAGATATGAAAGAAAAGGACATAGGGGGCGTTGAAAATGGGATTAGGAACATTATAATGAGGTTAAATAAGAATGTTGGAGTTCACCACGTGTGAGCAACTCGTTCCAGGAGGGGAAAATTTAGAAAATGGGACAGTTGTATTAACCTGTCCATGGGACACGTGTTGCTTGCACGAGGTGAATTTGTACAAGGTAGTTGGTAGAGGTACATTATCTTGATACGGGAGTAGCTGAGAACAGTTTATAATTAGTAGAAATCTTTTTATGGAGTTAAGGGATAATATGATAAAAGGCAAGGGGGTATCTATAATATGGAATTTTAGATTCTGCGTTATGTTACCTATTTTTACGTTTAAAAAGATATAACCTATGGTGAAAATATTGTTAGCTATGGCATTAATAGTTAAGTTAAATGGATGGACAGGTATTTTTCTTTTACAAACTGATTTCTATTATTTTAAAAGTATTCTGCCTAATTATAGCGATAGATGCTCCTGTATAAAGTAGTAGAGTAGGTTTACATTATTGGACAGTGTGTTCAGCTCGAACGAGCAATAGTTCAACAAAAATTATAGAAGGAGGAACCTACTGTGGTGCTGTCTTGTATGTCGGGACAGGCCTGGTCTGGTGCCATGGTTGGAGGTTCCTTGGGACAGTCAGAGTTCATTGTCTGCGCTGGGCTCGTGGTTTAGAGAAGGTCGGGGGAGCAGGTAACATACGCTCGCGTGTTGATAACTCGGAGGGGCGCTTGCAGGAGGTTTGCTGGCTTTTTCAGTCTTGTAGAGTATTGTAGTTGGGCCCGATCTGCTTGGGCGTCGTAGTTGGTGAAGAAGCTTTGCGCCTTGTACGAACCATCGTAGCGATTCCACCTCTCGCGATGTCCGGTCACGGCAGAAAGCTGATGTAGCGTCGTCGTCAACCTCCCCAGGACATCTGACACCGGCGGCGGGGGTGTGACGTCTTCCTGGCCGGGGACAATTTCCTGCGTCTTACCGAAGGTTGTTTCTTTCTTCGGAAAAGTGGGGCTTCCGCCACTTTCGGAGTCGGGATCGGACTCCATTGGTTCCTTTGGCTCCTCCTCTCTTCCCTGTTCCATCTTTCTGTACAGACAGTGGTCTATTTGCTTACTTGTACCTTGGCGTCCACTATCCTGTCGACTCTTCGTTACGGGGGAGTCTGTGATATCTTGGGACCTCTGGGACCAGTGTTACCTGATGCTCGACGAACCTCGATGTCAACTCTCCCGTGCAGTCGTGGTGGAAGGCGACACAGCTGGGCCAAAGGTGAAATAAACAAACAGAGATTCCACTAAAAGCGTCTGACGTCAAGAAGGAATGGGATGAGGAGAGAGAGATTTTAGAGCAAGTGTTACCGTTGAGTTCCAAGCGAAGACTGACAATTCTAGGTCCTTGATTTAACACCAAGACTCAGTTTCTCTCTGATTGGTTGAGAGATGATCACATGCTTTTTCCCTATTGGTTGACCTATTTAGATGCTTCTTTCCTAATTGGTGGGACTTTTTCACGTGGCCGTAGGCTATTGGTTGACCTACTTAGGTGATGTCTTCTCGCGGCTTTCTTTGATAGAAAATACGTCCTGTCTTGGCCCGGAAATTGGGCGTCACTCTTAGATTTTATGGTTTCCTCGATATCAGATACGCCCTGTCCTGTCAGGAAGTATTGACTTGTAACTTATTTATAGTTGGGCTGGTTTTAAGCCTCTTTTGCTAGGCCTTGCTTCGACTTCTGTCCTAAACCTGATTTGTTTTAACCTTAACTTTCTCCTGTCTCTCTCCATTCCTTCTATCTGTACAGTTGCAATACTTTATTAGATTCTTACGCGGTACAGATTGATGTTAGTTGAGGTTTTCTATGTGCAGTACATAAGAAGTTATATACAGTCATGGGGTGGAACATGTGGTAGTGGATATTTAGACTATTTACAACAATTCCATGGTCTTAAATCATCACATATATATATATATAAATATATATACAAGTCGTCAGAGAGAGAGGGGGGGGGGATATATTTTAAAATAACTTGTAAAACACAGTTTCAAACATTTGTGACTGATACCACTATACTTCTTAAAAAGGCAACTGTATAGGTTGTGAATATTATTATTCAAGTCCTTACTTTGAACTTTTTCAATAACGTTCAAACATACGATTTAGTGTTTAATATTTATAATTTCTTATTTTTAGCTCTATTTTTGTAAAAGTTATGCTCATATTTAGTTGAGAGATTGCTAATCATACTTTTCAGTTATTAAAAACAACTTTTCATTTTTGTTAACTAAATAATCTTAAAGAAGATTGGGATAAAAGAAATTTAACTGGCGTCACGTTGATTTCTATCAATCCAATCAGTTGGGCCAGTTCACACCACGTGATATTTAGACAACTTCAGATTGGCTGATGGTGTACCAAAATTTGATCAAGAAGGATCAGTTTGATCAGTTTATCTGACAAGGAGATTGTGGCCCTCATCAGTAGAGAGGCAACACCAGAGTTGACATCTGAGATTGAAACAAGAGTTGGATAACTAAGGTTTATAATAAAGATGCTTCCCTGATTTTATATTTTAACTAAATTCAATAAGGTATATAGGATTCGGTTTCTTTTCGTAATTCTTTTATTTCTCGAGGTTTCAGGTTAACATGCCCTTCAATACGGAAACACCACTACTATCTAATCGGGATGGGAATCGAACTCACAGTGTTCCGCTTACCAGGCAGATGCCATGTCCACTAGGCTAACCTAGGCTTCCAGGGTAGCCTAGTGGAGATGGCATCTGCCCGGTAATCGGAACACTTCTATCTAATTAGAACACGCCAAGAATTACGAAAAGAAAATCCGAGCTCTAGATACCTCTTCTTCTTCTTTCTCATCTCCACTCAATCATATTAGGGTATCAAGTTTGTAAAGTTTGGTGGTCTGCCGGGGAAGAGTATTTAAAATAAAACAAATCCTAAATAAATATAGCATTTGAAAACTATTTTGGTTAAAATGGGTATTTTCATATTAAGAAGAAAGAAATTTATGATGCATTAGCGCACCATGGATGATTCAATACAGTCAATAATGTGTTTTGGGGTTGCAGGTTGAGAATTTCACTTAGTACATAGTGGGAAAATCTTGCAACCATTGTGGAAAGTCATTGTCCGTAGATGACCAGACTTAAGTCTGGAAATCAAAGACTGTTGTTCTCTTGGGAGGACAGAACCGTTGTTTGTCCCTCCTGCTCTGTACCAGTCATGTGCAGCATTAGATTTCCATTCCTGCAGGCATTGGGTTTTGATGGTACGGAGGAGGTCCTAGATACCTTATTGGATTTATCGTAAAGATAGAGGCTGCCTGGACGGCTTTATTTTCAAGAATTATTGAATTTAGTTAAAACTAAGGTTTAGTTGGAATTTCACTTCGATAGAAATATGTCAGAATGATCATAGAAATTCTTACCTTTATTCTTCAACATATTGGTATTTAAATTCAAAATTGAGTTTTTAATATCAATATATATTTGCATTAGTTCTTTCTTCTAGATGTGCGCGTCAGCATTTTCTCTTTATCATCAAATATTAAATTGTATCAAATCGTTAATTTTTTGTGATTAATTTGTTTTATTTCTTTTTTATCATAAACACCAAAAGAGAAACAATTAATTTCTTTTTTTATATATATTGTGTTGTTATTTGCAATGCGGACTTTCACGTGGTCAAATTTCAATAAAAATAGCACAATATTTCAATGAATATGTTTCTTCAAATATTATTTTGGTATGAAATAATACTTTATATATTATACAAATGTGATTATGGCTGGTCGAAATTTTAGTGAAACAAATAGAAATATTTCAAGCTAATAAATTATTTAAATCCATTGTTATAGTCGAAAATTCTAATTTATTTTAAATAAAACATCCAAAATAGCATTTGAAAACTACTTTGGTTAAAATGGTTATTTTCATATTAAGAAGAAAGAAATTTATGATGCATTAGCGCGCCATCTGTTATGAAAATTCGAAACTATTATAGGCGCATATGATTCTTTTTAAAAATTGAACAATTTATACTGACTTTACTAACAGCGGTATGGTAGATTAAACTTGCGAAATCGTTTGGAGGGTTCACCACTGATGAGCCAGGCTCTTCCATTAATTTTTCCATTGCAGTAAGGGAGGTAGAACTTGTTTAATTTTTAGAAAGAATCATACGCGTCTATAATAGTTTCGAATTTCATAAGAAGTAAATTATTTATCAAAGGAATAGCTTCGGCACCTTAGATTTTCCACCAGTATTATATTCACCTTCTTAAGATGGTTGGCAAAATAATTCTTAATAATATTTCTTATTATATTATAAATGATATTATAAAACATATATGCGATGTCTGTGATAGATCCAATATTTATGAAAGGGAAATATGTTCAGAGATAAAATGTTTGGCTAAGTTAAAGGAGGAACTATGCTCAAGTGAGCATATCTTTTGGGAGATGATCTTTATCCATTTGAAACTGTCATATTTATATCATACTACGAATTGTGGATTTTAATATATAAGCATTTCAAAATTATCTCTCAAAGCTAACACCCCCTCACAGGTTCTTGAAGCGTACAGTATTTTAAATAAAGAACCAAATATATATATATTAAAAATAAAGAAGGCATTTCCTGACCAAAAGCACATGTGCTTTTTAGATAGCAGAGCGCCATCTAGTGGAGAAAAATAAACTAAACGTTTATTTAACTTGCTTCGTGATATTTGGCCAACCCAATTTCTTGATAAATCAAGAAAAGCCATCCACGAACGCGTTTCGCGCTGTTGGCGCTCGTCAGCGTGGAGTAGGCTGTATATACCACTATATACAGTAGAAAACTGTTTAACAGAAGTAGAACTCTGATAGAATATCTCCAATATAAACACAGAATATTACGTATCAGGGAATCAAGTTGACTCCTACTGTGGAATTCCAAGTCCTAATAACTGCTATATATCATTGCTAGATATACATTGCCAGTTTTAAAAGAGATAAAGGGTATGTGGTGAGATTTGTAGCTTGCTAAATTACCTCAAAGATGGGTTAAATCAGGTCAAATTAAGTTAGACGGGTCTACTTGGCCAATATATATCTTCCTAGTGTGGTCACTGTGTTACATTGAATATACGATGTTGTGGTTGAGGTCATGTGTCTGACGTGACGTTCCACATGACGTTGTTACTCACATCTTGGTGTTCTGTATGGAGGGAGGTTGGACAGGAGACTGTTCTTGTTCCATCTAGACAGGTCTGTGGTAATCCAGGTCCAATGGTGAGGAAAGAACACAATCCTGCAGGTATCAGGGAGGGATGGAGCATCGTGTAGCCTAGAAAGGTCCTCAGTGGTTCAATGGAATAGAATGGATCATTATAGCTCCAGGTCTTGGATCATCCAGGCCAATAATGGCTGTAGACATAAACATCTAAAATACCCATTCCAAGAATCTAGCATCAGTATCACTATAAAAAGAACCGGAATAAAAAGCAATATAACAGCGGTATGGTAGATTAAACTGGCGAAACCGCTGAGAGGGTTCACCACTGATGAGTCAGGCCATCCCATTGATTTTTCATTGCACTAAAGGCAGTATAAAATTGTTTAATTTTTAAAAGAATCATACGCGTCTATAATAGCTTTGAATTCTCATATAAACATGTTGAAGCTGTCAACAATCAGCTATCTCAAGTGACAAGATATATCAATAGTCTAACACAGCTGTCTAGGAAGTTTTAGACTTGAAGATTCTATCCAGGATGTGTCACTAAATGAATGAACAATTGTTAATTGGACCATGATCCTTTTTTTTCATATTTATATGCCTCTTCTAACTTGGGTTATCTAAAAGGTTTCTATATTAGTCTTCTCTGAACGTGAAGGATTCGTTAAAAGAAGGGAAATAGGAGCTATTCTTTCAGCAAGATACTTATTCATATGAATCCTATTTGGATTCTGGCTTGTTTCTTTTATAATTTTAATTGAAATAGTAAAAGATGTGATTTAGAGATCTTCATATTTTTAAGAGGAGTATCTACAAGAAAATAAGACCTAATCCAAATAAATTAATAATGTGTAATAGAGCAGAGCTTCAGATCCTGAACTCTTCAAAATAGAATTTTCAAGTGATGGCTTAGCATCAACAATGATATTCACTTTGGAATTCAATTTCTTCAGCTCATAGCTGGATTATTTGGATTAGGTCTTATTTTCTTGTAGCTCTAATCTATGATTCTATTTGTGCTTTATCATTTAAGAGGAGTATTAAATGCTGTGAGAGTGTGTAAAATAAATGTTGAACGTTTGGAATGTAAAAATTTAATCATTCATTATACGCCGCAAGAAGTTAATTTGAGTCAAATTCCAAGTTTTTTTCCTCAAATTCTTGAATAAAATTTTACAGAGATTGCTCTATTAAAACTAAATTGTGAGTAGTTATTTGGTGTGAATTATTATTAATTGAATATTAAAATTTTATTGGTTCGAATTATTAAAGCGTGTAAGAAATAGCAAAACATCCAAATAAAAAAAAAAAACTAAATGAAAGTTTTAGCCCCCCCCCCCCTTTTTTTTTTTTGGTAGGAAAAAAAATCGACGATTTCAACTGCGTTGAGGAAATATACATTGGGAGGGCCTGACTCATCAGTGGTGAACTCAACCAGAGGTTTTGCTACTGGGAGGAATCACTATTGATGAGCCAGGCACTCTAATTATATTTTTTCCTCGTAGTAGGAACTGTATAAAATTGTTTTTTAAATCAATCCCTAGAGTTACGTAAACTTCCTCCAAACATCCACCACAGGATGCCTGAGATAAGGGACGAGGATGTTTACAGACGTTGTTGTTATACCAAGGGCTGATTGGTGGTTTAGAGAAAGTTCAATAGCACACAATACCGTTAACAGTAACAAAACACAGCTGATATTATGTAAATTTTATAATGTACATATAACTTGCAATAGCATAGTTAAGTTTCATTTTGTATCAATTTTCCTGTAGAAGGGCGTTATCCCGAAAGCTAGAAAAACGTTTAATAAAAGATACTCATCCTTAGACGTTTATTATCTAAAATTGCTAGCAAAGGATTATATTCTAAAAATAAACAATACCGTTATCACTAATTTTTTGGAGGATCTTATTGAAGCATTTTTTATATTCAGAAAAAAGTACCCAATACGGGATTCAATCCCGAATCGTGGAATTCGAGAGAGATTGAAACTGATTTATTAAAATTTCCATATAAGATTATATATGGTTAATTACAAAATTAAATAAATACGAATAAATAAGATTATATAATGATAAATAATAGGAATAATATTGAATAGATGACACCCATGAGATTGACAGCTATAAAGATGAGACGTGGTGGTACTTTTTCCAGTCTTTACAGCAGTTCTTGGAGGTTGTGCACATATAGCTTTCTCAAGGAGGAGCTTCTTGCCATTTGATCTGATGCATTCTATTTAAATGTAATGCTAGTCCTAAAAGCTTATATCCATAGTTTACTTGAAAACCATTTCTAAGATTCCACTCTCCATTGCAGCATATATAAGCAGAGAATCATCCAATACAGTATTAGAACTCTAAGAAGCGTTCAGGTAGATTAAATTGGGGAAACCGCTGGGAGAGTTCACCACTGATGTGCCAAGCCCTCCCAATATTTTTTTTCACCGCAGTAAGAACAGTAGATGTTTGTTTTATATTTAAAAAGAAAAATTTCTGCCTTAAT